TGCACCAATTTTATATTCTATCAATATTTTCAAGGCATTTTTCATAGTAACAAATGCATCAAAATTTGCTATAGATGCCATTTTGTCACAAATAGGAGCAAATGATAAGCTTTATTCTAAGAAAATTTTTAATAGCTAAAATTAATTATAAAATCCATGATAAAGAGTTTTTTATAATCATAGATTCATTTCAAGAATATTGTCATTATTTAAGATCCAAAATTCTTCATCATCAATCTTATGGATTTTTTCAACCATTACCTATTTCATAACAACTATGGTCTTTTATTTCTACAAAAGTTTTCATAGATCTTTTAATCTCAAGTTTGTATGATTCTATATTTGTGATAGTAGATTTTTATATCAAGATAAAATATTTTGTATCATGTGTAAAATCTATTGTAGGAGAAGAAACAACAAAGTTTTTCTTGACAACATCTATTGCTATCATAGATTGTCCAAGGATATTATATTACATAAGAAGACTTAATTTGTATCAAGAATTTTAAAAATTCTTTTTTAAGATTTTAAAAATAGATTTAAAACTCTCTTTGGTATTTCATCTTTAAACTAATGGATAAATAAAATAAATGAATAAAATTTTGAAGTAATATTTGATGTATACCATTAATTATTGTTAAGATGATTGGATAATTTTTTTGTCATTGATATAGTTTGTGTATAATAATTTGATATATTCTTCTACTCAACAAATACCTTTCTTTATCAATTATGATTATCATCCATAATTTGATACTTTTGACTTTTTAAAAGTTGATAATCTTATGGTAGAAGATTTTGAAAATCATTTATTAAAGCTATATGAAACAATAAAGGCACAATTAAAGGAAGGACAAGAACAAGAAAGTATTAATGTAGATGATTATTGCAAAGAACAACTACAATTTAATGTGGATGATAAAATATGATTATTTTGTTGTAATATTAAGACTATTCGTTCTTGTGACATGTTGAACTATTATAGGCTTGGATTTTTTTTTATTTGTGAACAAGTCAATTTTATTGCTTATTGATTTCATCTATTGAAGTCTATAAAGATCGAATCTATATTCCATGTGTCTCTTCTTAAATCATATAAGATAGTGAATATGTCATAAAAAAATCAAATACCACCTCTTTCTATAGAAGTCGATAATAATTAGGAGTTTGAGGTGAAAGAAGTCTTAGATTCAAAGTAATTCTAAAATAGATTAAAATATTCTATTTATTGGTACAAATATGATATAAGTAAATACACATGGGAGCTAAAAAAAATCTTGCAAATACAAAAAAGAAGGTTGAGGCTTTTTATCAAAAATATCCATCAAAATTAAGATGAATAAAAGTAAGATGTATAAAAGATGATGACAGCTCCTCATAAAACTTGTCTCTAGAAGGAGTTATGTCACAAATATATTTATTTTATTCAAATAATTACCTATATAATTAAATAAAATTAAATAATAATAGATTAATTTTATAATATCTTCTAAAAAAGCTTTTCAAAAGCTTTATAGATGCAATTTTGATTTTACATGTGTTTGGTAAATTAGAAACTTAGTCAATAAATTAACCATGTATCACACGTGATGATAGCTTGTAGAACAACCTAACTATATGGCACACATATAGAATAAGTTAAGACATGTGTCTAGCGAAGTCAATATGTATTGGAGGTCTTAAAGAATATTGCCATATAACTCTTAGTCAGAAAGTATATATGGATACAAACGTAAAGTCCTCTTTGCTCTTATCAACGCATTTCTTATCCTTAGTCTTATTTCAAGACTTTCTAGTCTTCTTGTCTTTAGCAATAGCCATTCTAATTCAATATATTACCATCTTTGAGTGATTTGTTAGTCTTTTTGAGTAACAAAAGAATGTATTGAAGTTTTTTTTCTTCAAGCTTTGAGTGCATAACAAGTTGATCAAATATAAGCTAAATTTTTTTTCTAATAATATATATTAATAGTCTATTTGGGCCTTAGCAAAGATTCACTTGGCTATAGTTGGATGTTACAAGTTATGTAAAGACATGGAGAAAAAAAAAATTAAAGAACTAAGATATCTTAGATAGGTTTAGAATTTATCTAATATACAAGAATTAGTCAATTTTAATCTTAATAGAAAATTTGACCTTGACATAGTTATCAATTATAATAGAATTATCAATTCTAAGATAGATTTTAACCACAACATCAACATCAACGTCAAATTTTAAAAAATTACATTTATATTATAAAGACCAAGATAAACATCATCAAAGAATTAATATTAAAAAAGATATAATTCTTATGCAAAAGCATATAAGAAATATCTTATATTTCTTATGGTATAAGAAGTGAGATATTTAACTTATATCACTGTTTTTTGTCATTATAGTTGAATATAACTCTAAGTGCGATTAATTCTAGTAGTTGCTTGTCAATCCTAATAAATTAACTCTCACCAAATAGACCCCCTAATTTTGTTGCAAACCAAGCTTGATTTATACATAATGCATAGAGTGTCTTCTTTTTCATATCAAAAGTCTTGAATGTGTTGCATTTGATTATGCCTACAATTTCTATACTCATTTATTAAATAATTAATTAATATTTAGAGTGGCTCAAAAGATAGTGGTTTATATATTAAAAATAAAGTCATATTTATAGCTTAAGCTATTTGTGATAAGGTGGATGGAATATTGTTGAATGAAGCTATTATTATTACCTTTATTTTAGTGTCTTTAAAGATGCAAAAACATTAATTCATGACACTTTTTAAGGTTAATTTGTTTCTTGGATTATTAGAAAATATATATAATATATTTTTAATACATAATTAATATGCTAATAAATAATATTTAACTTTCAAGACTTAATTATAAGTGATTATATATAATTAAGTTTTTTTTACTATGTATTTAATAAGCATGTTTTTCTAATTATTAAAATGTAATAGAATTTAAAAACATTTATTTTAATATATATATATATATATATATATATATATATATATAATTGATTCCTAAAAGTTTTAATATATTTTAATTTAATACATTATTATATAAATTATACCATCTTCTTCTTTTTTATAATAATAAGCAACATTTACATTTTGAATTGTAAAAGTGGCATGGATTTAAAACATACATGTTTTTCATTCCATATACTAAAAATACAAAATTATATTTAAAGAAGAATTATAAATAATCTTTAAATTGTAGTGTAAAGATAGGTGATTGCATAAGAATATATTTTTATTAGATAGACAAGGTTGTTATTATAGGTTGATTTAGAAAGTGAATTAGAATGAGTATTTTTAGATAGAAAGAATTATGATGGATAAGGTATTGGTTAAATAGGAATGGTAGTAAAAATATTGATACAAATAGGATTTATTAGAAATTAAAGATTGTAATAAGGTTAGAATGGCTAAATAAAAAATAATGTATAGATTAAAGCATAAAATTATTCACAAAAGAATATCAGATAATTAGATATAAAAGAGTAATTAATAAAAAATACATAATAAAGTTTTTTGAAATATAAATTATGTACTCATAAATATTGAATGATTTGGGATTTAGAGCTTAAAGAGTGAGACTTTTAAATTTTGAATTTTGACTTTTGATCTTTTTTTAAATTACAAGTATTATATATATATATATATATATATATATATATATATCTATATATATAATTTTAATTAATTATAATTATAAATTTGAAAAACCCATGTTTTTAAAATTATCTATAAAATTATCTATATAAGTTTATGTACCAAAAGAATAAATGTTGGTGAAAGTAGAATACTTCAAGTTATTTTAAAAAGTAACTTCAATCTTGAAGATTGTGAACACACATTCTTGAGTCAATCACAGAAAAAGACTTATACTTCCAAAATATACAACTTTTATAACAAAGTGTTCTTAATACTTTATATTTTTTTAATAAATATGCTGCTTTTTTTTTTTTAATTTTATTTATATATTTGTATTATCATTGAATAGAAGTAGCTGAGCTTCAAGTGGCATCAAAATGTTTTTTAGAATTTTGACTTGTAATTGTCATGAAATATCTATTATCTTATTTACATTCTTAATGTGGTTATTCCTAAGTTATTAAAAGTGACAATATGACAAAAGCAGAGCCACTTGTGTATTAGAACTTTGAGTATGAAGCAATTGATTGTTGTGCATAACTACTGTTCTAAGGATTTACTTAATTGCTCTTTATTATTGTACTATAAGTAATGCCTACTAAGAAATTGACTTAATGCTGATAGTATGGTAGGTATTGTTGGGAATATTTCAAGAAACATTTGTTGCATTGTTCCCCTATTCATGATGAAGCTACACCAAGTTTTGAAAATGCACAATCAACAATTTTACGTTCCTTGTGATAAATTGTTCAAGAATGCTCAAGAACACTTTACCCACTTTCAAGTCAGCCCCATTCTCATTAGCTTCTTACTTCTTAAAGGTTAACAACTGTTTCTTGTGAGTAAATTGATAGCACTTGTCAGCAGATTAACGTTAAATCTTGGAAATATTGTTATCATTAGGACTTACACCTCACCGATGTCTACCCAGGATAGAATGCTCGAATGTGATAGACAGGGGATGGTTTACACAGTCTTTTCTTGCGCTCAACGAAGTAGCTTTTTGCTCTTGATTGGCACCAATGGGCCTTGTGTGAGAACTGATGTATCATTCTGCTTTCTCAGAGGAGTGATTTGTATAGTGTGTGCGCGATCCAGTGGATTATGTATCCACAAATACATGTCTCGGTTAGGGGTTTTCACGAAATCATTTGGTAGTTTCGAGGTGATTGATGTAGGACAAATAAATGTACACTAATTTCAGAAAACCTGGTTTGGAAGAATCAAAAAGTATTTCATATTCCAGTATTGAGGCACCCCTTTTTGACTGATAATAGGTCAACAAACCAAATTTGGATTCTCATGTTTTCAGTTGCAAAACACTACGCACGGTGAGAATGGACCGTAGGAAGGAGTAATAGAAAATTTGAAATGATGTTCATTTGCTACAGTCCTTTTGCTTTGAAATTGACATGCTTTCAAACCGATTTGAGTGGCAGGTAATTAAATACAGCACATCAAGGATGTCCACATCGTATGTAGCAGGAGAAGGTCCGCTACGTCCGCCAACACATACACCGCAGCTTATTACGCTCACTGAATCTATGAGGAAGTGGCTCTAGAATCTTGCTCTTCAATAAATCTGCCAGGGAGCTGGATTTCAGATCCGAAATAACTTCAGGAGATGTATACAAACGGTTAGTGTTGATTTATTGATATAGGGAGATCATTCACCAATTCGAGGCGCACTGAAACCTCTATCTACTGCTAAGATTGAGTTGTACGCGGACCGCTGATAGGTCTCTCACGTTGCGAAGTAGACAAGTCTCAATATCGCTTGCATGCTCCATAGCATCTCTGCAAAGGTAGCAGAAACGACTAGGTGAACTTTCATTGCAGAATACACAAGAACTACTTGAATGCTGGCCAGAATTCATGAACTGAACTCAGTCATCTGTTTGTTAGTACCTGATGGAAAGATTGGGGTCCAAAGAGACCCCCACCTCCGCAACCACTTTGCCGTGCAAAAAATGACATGTAACAACCTTCACTTTCACTGCCTGCCATATTTTTGAAGCACCCTCATCAGTCTTTCAAATTATCGTCAGATTAATCTAACAAATATCTCAGGTACAAGACCACTTGCATTTTTTAAAGTTCCACACAGGACACTCTGCGAACTCTGAAAGGGTGTGCGCACGAACATCGGAAATTACTCCAACAGACCATGGAAACTTGCCTCACGAAAGTTGGCGTCAAGTACATGTCGGACAACGCGTTCTACCTCAGATTGCTGTAAAGAACCATATATTTTGTGAAATGGTGCACCTTCATGCTTATCAGAGTTCATGCCACCCGATGCTAAAAGTTCAGCTTTTGGACATTCTCCATTACTGGCATCATACTTATCCTGATCATGATCGTGGTGGTGATCGCAGGTATTTTCATCCTTACGATGTTGGAAAGAATGTTGATCTGTGTGAATATGGTCATCATGGCGATGCCCGATGTAATGCTTGCTTGCATCTACAGTCTCAAGCTCCACTTCACCAGGGCCTTGCGATGCTGGGTCTAAATAAACACAAAGGCTAAGGCGGTAGTTAGAGCGCCTAGACGGCCTTGACCAAAAACAAGAGCAAGGACTTCGAGTTTTAGGATCCTCGGATACGTTGATATGTAAGTTTTCAGTAGATCCTATACGTTGGATTAACTAATTTTGTTCACAAAAATGTCCAGGATTCATAATCAGCATCATTTATGCAACAAAGCATTTAAAAACTCAACTTCTTCAATTGCGAAATGTAACATGTAAACAACCTATATGGACAAAACTCTCTGTGACATTTGGATGATGCGCTCGCACTTGCTGCCTGACTGCCTCCCCGATGTTATGGGCTGCACTTAAACTAAGCCACGGATCCACCTGTCGGGAGATCACACGTTTTCTTCAACCGTAACTCCCTCATGCAATGCTTAGCATACTAGGACACTGAATAGCAGATTCACTGCATAGACGTTGTTTAGAGAACTGCAATGCAATACAACAAAGTCCAGGAGCTATAAAGGGCGTGCGAACGGTGGAGTGCGAAATCCCATCATGGTTTTTAAGCATTTGTTGAAGCTGGCTGACTTTAATCGTTGTGAGGGATATCATACCTCAATATGAACATCCACATGAACAGTTGAACCCATTCGCCGGCCCCTCAACTGATGAATACCCTGTAAAACATTCAGGTACAGTTCAATTAATCGCTAAAAGCCTCTGAGACGAAGCTAGGGATAACTAAGTCAGAAATTAGTGCCCTCCAAGGAAGGCAACCAAAAAAAGCCATACTGTCCACAATGCTGCTCCTCAGTCTGTTTCAAGCCAGCATAATTCAACCATTTATCAAGGTACAGTGCGACAAAATAGAAACCTTCAACCACAAGATTGTTTATGAGAACTCTGAGATACGAGTGCAAAAAAAACACCTTCTCCGTGCGGCCAGACAGGTCCAAGTTTATACGATTTAAAAAAAATGAGCGTAGACGGGAATTTTTAACCCTAAAAACAACTAATCGGCATGCCAATCGTGTCCCCGGGTACACATCAACATCTCAGTATAAGTTTCAAACATTCATATTAATTCCAAGGCAATGATTTGTGTTGGCTACATTGAATTTCAATATGCCAAGTTTAGTACCTCAACACCATCAACTTTTAAAACAGTTTCGTGGATAGGCGCGAGTACTGTCTCAGGTAGTCCCATGTCCAGCAGCTCCTGCATGCTGCAGTTTGTCGAATACGATAGGAATTAATATAGTACAGAAAATTGACGTGACTGACAAAGAGAAGTGCATGAGAACGTTAGCTATACCGGGCAAGAGAGAATTGTCTTGCAAAACCTCTGGGCAGTAAAAGACGGTTGAGATCTTTAGAAGCTCTGGAAGAAAATAGCATACCTTTGATAACCCGTCTGCAGGCCTGCTTTTACAATCATTCCAGATACAAGCAGTGCCGCTGCTGGATCCAACAGTGGAATACCGATCATTGCTCCACCTGATCGAAAAAAAAACATTTGGACAGCCATTAACTAAGGCAAAGAATTTCGCTGAAATGTTACGCTCCGAACATGTATGATGTTCAACAATCTAAAAACTGAAGCTGAATACTGATCAGCTGCAAATGATGAGTCCTGTAAAGCAACGTTGAGCAATACGTTGTTTGTGAAGACATACCAACACCAATGAGAGCAACAACGGAAGATATAGCATCACTGCGGTGATGCCATGCACTGGCTGTCAGCAAGGCACTGCCAGCCCTTTCTCCAGCCGCTTTTGTTATCCAATATAAGCTGTTCCACATCGATTAAACATGAGGTACATAAAAATTAAATGAGTGTTTCTACAATATTCATCATTCCTAATACGAAGCTAATACGTATAAAAACAAGACAAAAAAGTTGAAAGGGTGAATTTAAATTAGTTTCTGTGAAGCCCCTGAATGCTATCGTAAAGTACAGCAAAATGGACGCTCCACTAAGAGGCTTTTAGCGATTAATGGACGCTCCACTAAGATGCAATGAAAGGAAACTAAAAACGCTATGGATAGTTCTGAAATTCTAAATTCGCTAAAATGATCCAGCAATTATTCTTTAGCTGAAATGCACTCTACACATTCTGTATCAGGAGAGCTATTCAGTGAAATAGGATCCCTGGATATACAAGTATAAAAAGAGAAGCATACCCTTCTTTGGCTCCAATGCCAACAATCGCAGCAAAAAGCGCAACTCCCATATGTTCCATGTCGAGTACATGTTTATGTCCCACAATTCCATGCTCATGATCGTGGCCATGGCTGTGAACTTCCAGCTGTGCTGCAGCGCCTATCGTTGTTTGGACTGTGTCTTGAAAAGCCAACATTGATGGTATCATGACCTTCAAAGCAAACAACAAGAGTCCAACAATGAGCTTAATCAAAATTGTTAAATAAGTAAATAAATCCATGATTTCACATGAACACGTCTGAAAATATACAAGAAAACTAATTGTGAAGCAGCGTTGAGCAAGATGAATAAGATCTTCGGGACATTTTGGTCAAGATACTAAAGAGGCATCATAAGCATACCTGTAAAGTATCAACTGCAGTCCATGCAATTCCACCACCGGTTACTAAAAGCAGAATTGATATGCTCAGCGCGCCCATGGTCTCAATTTTTCCATGGCCTGCATGAATAACAGAAGATGGAATCAATACCTGGCACATATTCCGCACGTTGTACCCAAACCATCACCCAAGTGTGCCACAATCGTCTATGAACCATGCACTGACTTTCCTCCAAATTTACGAACACTAAATTCATGTTCTTTGACTTGAAATTAATATGACTTGAAATGTCATATTGTGTCCATTTCATGTCCTTCCGTGGCCATCCAAAACCAGAAATCCTTCAGACACGCATGTACTACATTCAACGAAACGTAAACTAAGGCATCTCACACTGAAATTCAGTTATAAAATTTGAGACAAAATACAATCCCAAGTGCAATTATTACCGTATGGATGCTCTTTATCTGGAGGAACATTCGACGCTTTTGACGTCCACAATGCAACTCCACTCAACACCTAGGCCACGCCATGCAAGTTACAAGTCATGTACTTTCCAATACTAGTTCCTGCAGAAGAATTTAGCGTAGTCCACAGGTATATGGCAGCAACTCTATGTCACCCCAACTATTGTTAAAGCTACTGTAATATCAAAACGGAATACTACGCCAAATTTACAAAGTCCTCATCCATTGGCGCTAGCGACCACAAACACCCAAGGACCCCGACTATAACGGGGATCCTCACAAAGAAAAATTAAATCTACTGCTATGTCAAGCAATTACACGACTTGATTGACAAACGCCTTCGCTGAAGAGACGAGGGGTTCATGTAGTGGGTTACACGCGGCCTAATAATTTCAAAACAAAAATAAATAGAATGTCAAGCAGAGTAACAATCACATACAATGTCCGACGCAGAATGTGCCGCGTCCGCAATAATAGCGGTGCTGCCAGATACATATCCAGCTGCGCCTTTGCCGATGGTCAGTAGTATATCTGTCCAAAGGCCCCACCGCAGGACCTTCTCTCCATGTGCACTGAGCTTCTCCTGGGATTCGTGGCCGACATCGTCGTGGGCATGGCCCATGTGAGCACGCCTCTCATCACTCCAAAACTGCCCCCTCTCTGCTGAACTTTTAGTTTGGATTTTGGTAACATTCCATCCACGCATTGAAGTCTTAACAAATGCGTTAGACAAGAATGAGGGGTTAAGATTTGACCCATTAGAGGAACGACCCTTCTTGATAAATGACCTTGAAGCAACTTTGAGAAATGAGCTTCCATCGCTAATTTCAGAGATACTGAATCGCCGGTTCTTCCATTCAGAATGACATGATTTCGAGGATATTGTCACCACCCTGTTTATCCCATCCACGTACCCTACAGAAGATGAAAAGTGCAACAAACTTTCCTTGGGCTGTGAGGTTGAATCGAAATCAAGGGACGATGACAACGTCCTAGCTAAAGGTGATTCTTGGCACTTCCGAGTCTGAAGAATTTCTGGGGGCCGAATCAAGATGGCCTTCGACTCAGTCCGTCGCACATTTTCGATGAGATTGAAGAAGAAACACGTGCACCTGGAGTAACGATCATTGCTAGGTCGGAGCGGCATCGATCAGAATGTTCTCACCCTATCTCTGACTCTGACCTGAAGCTGTCAGAAGAGCCACTGATCCCAGCTGGCCATTCAGGGTTATCAAGGGCCCTCCGGCTTGACTGCCGAGGGTATCGAACTCCTCATTCAATAACTAGCAAAATTGACAAAAGCGAAAATTATACGGATGCCTCCAATACACCTATTGAGATTTATGAGCAGTACCAACGGCAGGTTAGAAAATCATGCGCATCTACCAAGAGAAGTTTCAGGTAGGGGATAGAAGTGATGATTAAGAGTTCAATAAACTAGTGTGAGGAAATAAAGAAGTAATTACGACTGACCACTTCATTCACTAAATTACTACAGTCCTAACCCTCAGCCACATCCTCCTCACTGTTCTCTGCATTATGAAATGAATGAGATAGCTTGATCCAGTCTAGCTGAGATTATCCTCAAGCAGAGCTCCAACCACATCGATTGACACAAAGAGCCACACCTTGGTAAGGCGATCAAATAACTGTTTTTTTTTTTTTCCTTCTTCTTCTTCTTCTTCTTTTTCTTTTATAATTTTTTGGTCACCGACCCAAAAAATACTATGAGCTCCAGAAATTCTTTCATAAATTCAAGCTATCCTCCTCCCTACCAGTAACAAACCTTCGGTTGCATTCTCTAATCTTCCTAGAGCTCCACTGTGCGAATCGTTGCAAAACTTGAAGCTCATGCTGTGTAAAAAGACGTCTTCGAATGCGCAACAAAACACGGAAAGGCCGATCAAAGCCAAAACAGAAACCTCTACTTGTAGAAAAAAGTCAAGAAGGACGTTAGAACAACAGTGTGCAAGCGAATTACCTATGAAAGCGCTTGTCCTTCACCGGAGGAGTATAAAGGAGACAGGAAAATGGAAAAGAGAAGCAAAGAGACGAACCAATTTGCAAAGGAAAGCATGGGCGAGAGAAGTGGGAGGCCAAATTAGATGGGCTCTGGAGTGAGGGAAGGGAATGGTGTAGAAATGGAAGGATCAGGCAGAGAAAGAAAGCTGCGAACATGAACCACCCTGGATTGAAGAAGAAGCTCTCTCCCCCGCGATCTCACTCACTCTCTCGCTCACGCACTCACTCACTCTGTGTGTGTTTGTGTGTGTGTGTGTGTGCCAGGCACGGCACGGCACGGCACGGCACGGCACAGCTCGGCCTTCCGTCAGTGCCCGTCCGTCCGTCCGTCCATATGTTCGTTCGTCCGTCCGTCCGTCCCTTTGTATCTTCCAGGAGCTGGGCTGGGCCGGGCTGGTCTGAGCTGGTCCACCGCGATCCGCTGGGCTCCCCTTTTCATTATTGCCGTGGACGTGGCGGACCCAACACTGGGACTCTATGCCTCCACGGCCAAGGGTAACTCATGTAGATCCTACCACCGATGGAACCCATTACCGATGGTATGATAAAGATAAGAGTCCCAAACAATGTTCAGGTATCAAAAAAATTCATTTCTGTTACTATGTAAAAAAATTCAAATATCTGCATTAGATTAGCAGTAACCACACAGAAGACTAAAATGCAAGCAACCATTTCAGAATGATGTAGATTTTTGCAAATATAGGCAGATATTTTTATCTAGCTGGCTAATAAGAATAAAGTATTGCTTGGCCAGTGTGGTAATTTACACCCAAAGATTTGACATCAATGATATGTCCTAAACAGCACTACGCTATTATCAAAGAGGAGTTGGCAAGTGTCTCTTCCAGAAACATGGAGGGAGGGTGAGAGAGAGGGAGCCAATTGTTTGATAATCTTAAGTGTCTCTTCCACGAAACATCCATCCAAACGGAATTATTCATCCAACGTATTCATCTAGTGGCATTCGCAGTGGTAAGCAAGGACTTCATGAAGAAAGAAGCCGCCTTAGAGCGAGCGGGGGGGGGGGGGGGGGGGAAGGTTTCACCGGATCCCTAACCCTAGCAGCAGGCTTGGGAGGAGGAGGAGGTCCCTTTTGTGTCAGTCTCCGCGAAGGTTGATTTCCTTTGACGAGCGTACGTGCTTTGCGTTGCTTGCTCGTCCCCGTCGCTTGAATTTGTTGCGCAGCCTCCGCGCAGAGTAGTGACAGCAGCCCGGCGCCATGTTGATTCCCAAGAAGAACCGGGTAGAAGTCTACAAGTACCTCTTCAAGGAGGGTGTCTTGTACGCCAAGAAGGATTACAATGCCCCGAAACACCCCGAGATCGATGTGCCCAACCTGCAGGTCATTAAGCTTATGCAGAGCTTCAAGTCTAAGGAGTACGTGAAGGAGAACTTCGCATGGAGGCACTACTACTGGTGAGTTCTCAGCTATCTTTGTCGATACGGTGTGCATGGCAGGGGTGGATTTGATTGTGGCTGCCGTAGCTGTGTTAATACTTGGGTTTTTAGTGTGTTTCAGAGCAATGTTTTAGGGAATCTGTATACTTAGGGTTTGGGTTTAAACCTTCCCAGTGAAGGAGTTGACGGCCTAAGAGAGTAGTGCCACTGAAGCTGCCATTTTTCCCCTTGTATTCTTCGTGAGGCTTGGTTCAGCATCCAGCAGGGTTTCCGTTGACACGTTTATGTTTTTCTTCATTCCAGTTGGGACGAATCAGTCTGTTCAAAGAATACTTCGTGCCAGTCCGTGTTCATCCTCTCTCATGTAGTCATCGGTCATGTATTAGGCTACTGCTCGATTAGAATGAGATTTTGGGGTGACTATCCGTGAGCTTATCCGACTTCGTGAAAGTGTAGGATTGATGGTTTCACAACTAACTGGTCGAGTTTGCGTTAGGCTTACTGGTGATTGAGTGTTATTTTTCGTGCCACTGTTTACAATATTTTTCCGTATTCATGTAGAATTTAACAGGAATGCCTAGTGTGAAGGAGAATCGAAGATCTTAGTCTGGAATGTACTTTGTCGAATATTCTGTGGCCTAATTAATTTAGCGGTCAGATAACGTCAATATCGTTATGTAACGTTTATGTTATTTGAATCCTACATTACTGATATATTTAGAAACGTTCGGATTCCTTTTTCATTCTTCGAGCCCCGAGAGTGGTTTCTGTTTCCTAGTATTTTCCTGTTTTAGTTTATCTTCTCCGTAATGAATCTAGCTCACATAGGCCATTGAGACATGGCGTTGCAGGTATTTGACCAATGACGGTATTGAGCATTTGAGAACGTACCTCAACCTTCCGTCCGAAATTGTGCCCGCGACTCTGAAGAAGTCTGCACGTCCCCCTAGCAGGCCCATGGGTGGTGCTGGAGGTGACAGGCCCCCCCGTGGTCCCCCAAGGGAGGGCGATAGACCACGATTCGGCGGTGATAGGGAAGGTTACCGAAGTAGTGGCGGCCGTGGAGGCGGTTTTGGTGGAGAGAAGGGAGGAGCCCCCGGAGAATACCGTCCCGAATTCCGTGGTGGTGGTTTTGGACGTGGAGGAGGCAGCATGGGGGGCGCTTCTCCTGGTGGTATTACAGAGTAGAGCTTTTTAGTGAGCTCTATACACGTAGCTGTAAGGGACTGGAGACTAGCGTCAGTTTTGAAACTGTCTCGAATGTGACTTTGCGAATTAAAAATGTGAGGAAATGTTCTCAATTCGAATGGTTTCAATGAGCTTTTCCTCTTAACGACCTGTTCATGCGTGTCTACATCGATTACTCCAGTTTTCATGAGTTCAGCGGATGACTGAGTTGATATTTTGGGTTTGTGCTACGAACATGAAGCAGTTTAGGTCGTTTTGTTATTTCTCTTAGTGAAACCAATGGACGTGACGCATTTCCCATCTACCTCTACAGTACACTTGAATATGGAACTTGGTTGTGTGCATGGTGTATTTTGTTCGAGAGATAGCAATTTTACTTGACCATAAAACCTTGTCGACAATGTGTTAATGAAGAGTGCCCGTATGTGTCTGGTCTTAAGGTAAATTGATTAGTTGGCTGTTTCCTCATTCGTTGTCCGCAACCGTTTGAAAGAACAATCTGCTACCCTCGTCGAAGCATGGACAGTGGACGAAACAGTTTTCATATGTAGTTATACTACTATGTTGGAAATTTGTAATTTATCTGCACCAGTATCAATGTGACAGCGATATATCACAGTTGTGTGATGCAATGTACATTTCGGCACATATATCACAGCGATATATTGCAGTTGCAATGTGCAAAATAGTTGTGTGATGCAATGTACATTTCGGCACATTTCGGTCAATTATCACTTTTCCAACAGGGCGTTGGATTCGATACAAGCGATTTCCGATGGTTTACCATTGACGAGGTGGATAAAAAACAAATTCGTCTCTTTGCATTCACGTTAAATATGCTGGAAATACAGTCAAAATTTTAAAGCAAAAACCGTAACATATCTTCTTTACTCTACAAGTATACTCCGTACTGATTCCTCACTCGCTCGACATATTGCACAGTATGTCACTATCTATAGATATAACCAAATATAGCTTATTGGTACCATGAGTACTCAGCTGAACAGTGCTTGGTCAACCGCAACTTGAATTGTCCAAAACATCATCTCCCGTCGCTGATTGACAGAAATTAATCAAAATTGCCACTGATAATCAATAACACTTCCATATTGTTACAAGTTGTCGGAATACAGTTTCACGAGTAGGAAACTTGGTGCTTACTCTTGTTCTCCAGACGGCCAAGGCTAGAAATTCTACTACCTATCCTTCCCACCCGTCTGACCTAGAAGGCTTTTTGGGCAGCGCTTAGGTTCACGATCAATGGCTTCAAATCTTGACTGCAGAAAAAACATGCAGACATTTCTTCTGCTGTCGCCTGCGCAAGCTCGTAGAAAGCTTCACAGTATGTTGCATTCCATAAATACACCTCTTCCACACTTCAAAAACCCACGTCCAATCTTCTGCACTTCAATTCCACGATCAATGCCGAAAATATACATACTCAAATCACTTCACAATAGATCGTCGTAAGCAACAATTGCTCTTCCTCTGTAATCACCAACGATGGATTCCATGGGCTGGGCCATTTCCCCAGCAAGCACTGCATGAGCCTTAGCGGCTGCAGCAGCAGTAGCAGCGGCTAACACGGACGGCTTCACGACACCTTTACGAGACCTGTGACCGCTTAATAAATCCTTCCCAGGAGAGATAGTAAAGCCGCCAATTCCTTTTTTCCACTCTGGCAGAGATCCAAGTGCCCACGACACATACACCTGCAAAGACATTAAAAGATCAAGAGTTTCAAACATCTAATTTTTGATTTTCAAAATCAAAACCACGACCTTCAGAAATGAACTAAAGGACATCCTTACAGGTGCAGTGAGGTAAGTCGATAATGTCTGAGTAGTAACTATCGAAGGAGGTGCTAAACTTGCCATGCGTTTCTGGCCTCTCATGGATCGGACAAGCATTCTCGTGCAAGTCTGAAATCAAAGAGAGGCCTCCAGAAATCAACAAATACCAAACTGTAGAGTCCGGTGAGAAAACACTAGGAGAAATAGTTCACGGCTAGAAAGATAAATTAGCAGCTCGAGCTTCGAACATCCTTCGAGCAACTACACATCCTAATCCAAAGTGTAATGGTAACATATAAACACGACTAGCACAACGACTAACACAGCTAATGCAATCAGAGCACGCTTAGAAATTCGGATTGTCATCAGCAAATTTTCCAGTTCTTTGTGCAATTCCCATAAATCAGATGTACATTGCGCAAGACTGAAATCGAAGAGGACATTAATAAGTAGGTTAACACGTGCAGATCTACTCATACACAGTGAAAATTCGCAGCTTTGGATATGATACACTGAGAGACATGATCATCATGACATACATGGAAGAATTCACTTAAAATATAAGCTATCCATCAAGACACTGTACCCTGCAACCCTGACACGCGGAATTTTACTTGGTAACTATATCTGGCAACTAGTATGAAAAATGAGACTAGCGTCTAGACACGGTAACCGGGACTCGAGAGGAAGTAATTCGCACCTGTTTGCCATTCAGCAACTCAATACCGTCCGGCGTTTGGCCGACGGCAATCGCAGCCTCCGCAGACTCCCGCTTGTCGAACGTCACAAACCCATAGCAATGGTTTTCTTTTATCTTCGATTTTTCGACGCTTCCGAATTTCTTAAACAACTCTGTGAGCTGCTCAGCCGTGGTGTCAGGATCTAGGTCGCCCACGAAAATCGTACACGGCTGCTTCTCCTTGTCCTCTATCCTCTTCTTTTTCTTGTCCGTGCTGGCTAGGCTGTCGTAGCCGGATTTCGAGTCCCGGTTTCCACGCTCCCGGTAGTCCCGATTCCTGCTCCCGCCACGGTGATGGCCTCGCCGGTGCTCCCACCGGCTGGACTCGCTCCTGTACTCCACGCCCCCCTCCTTCTGCCTCATTTCGTCTCCCCGCAGCCGCTCATCGTTCTCATCTCGCAACCGTCTCTTCCTCTCGGGAAGAGCCTCATTCCCTTGCTCCACTCTCTCTTCCCTCTCCTCTCTCTCCAAACCTCCTCCAACGCCCTTCCTTACGTCACCGTCCATTACGACCGAGGTATAAATTCACCGCCAAAGTCAACCACCGAAGTCCAAAACCCAGAGTCCTTTCCAAAGAACAAGCAAACAAAGCGCGACACAACAGCAGATGGACACAAGACGCAAACTGGTGCCCTAGAACGTGGTGCGTTCCTCTTCAGGGCAGAGGCTGACAAAGAAGACTCAATCAGGTAGAGAGAAGGGCAAACTACCACAATTACAACAGGAGAGATAAGCAAGCCTTCGCAAAAGCTGATGTTATTGACGATGGTGGCGACGCCTGAGACGCCCCAGCGCAGAGTAGTAATCTAAAGGGAAGGGGGGGGGGGTGGCGATGGCGGCGAGGCGGCGAGGGCTGCGCTGTCACACTTCATCCGACATGGTTTCTGCTCACCCCCACAAAACCAGAAACCAGGAAAACTGCAAAAGCAAAAGAAAAAGCAAAAGTTTATACTCCGCAGAAAGGCAAAAGTTGGCTCCTCCCCCCCCACACCATATACCCGGATTCAAGAAACGGGTATCAGGAAGGGGATCGTAATTGACGCCATCCCATCCCTCAATCATAGCGTTCAAGAAAAGTCAACGACTCATGCAGCATCACACCATCTTCCGCGTTGACTATGTATTCCACGTGTCAACATCTCTTGCTCCCAATTGTACGGGCTGTGTTCGTTTCGGAGCCACAACAACAGGTGAAGTTACTAATATTATTTCTTCACTACACTACATAAAACATATATTTATTAACAATGTAACTCTACTACAATTGTATTTCTTTATATATAATCTCATCTATGTCCATCTACATATTCTTCATTATTATAGTCGTTACTAATATGCACATGTTTTCAGGAGAAATTCATGATTTTAACTAGGAAGTAGAATATAAAAATGTCATCCACAACTTGCAGTATATATGGTTGAAAGACAATATAAATGTGCATAGTGTGTATACATACATGTATGGCTTGTACAAATATTAGATATGAAACAATTATCTGCTTGTGTAGTTCCAAACCAGGTTTAGAAACAGCAGAAAGTAAATAGAAGGAAAGGAATTAGCAAAACATATGAATTAAATTATAAATGAAGTAAAAATGGACTAATTAAAAGAACAGATAACATTGATCTTTAATTGGTCACGTTCCAATCCTAGACCTCTAAAAAATACTAATAACTTGATACCTTAATGCCATACAAAAATAGGGTTTGCATCACATGCTTAAGCTTATAAACTTAGTAAAGTAAAATAGAAAATTAAAAACATGTATCACTAATATTTTGAAAAAGAAGAGATTTTGTTTGTTTTACAATAGTCTTATTTGTTTATTATTTATTATGTTTTACAGAAATTTGATAAAAATTGATTAGTTTTGTTATAACATAATAAAAGATTTTAGCAAATAATACATCAAAAACCTTGTAAATGACAATGTACAAACATAATTAACACAAATATACACATACCATCAATGTCCAATTAATTAATTTTTTTACAATCTTAATTTTTTATAGATTTTTTGTATTTCTTACTAAAAATTGATAGTATTTTTTTATGCTTGTTTATGCCTTTAAAATAACAAAAGTTTATTACAAACATAATCAGTTTTAAAAATTTATTTATGAAAAATTTATTATTTAAAGATGGAAATTGATACGTTGATTGGGATTTTTACAAAATTAATCCTACATTATGATTATTTATATAATACATAGCCAATAGGTAAGCAAAATCCTTTGCTAAACAGATTGCAACAATATTTTATGAGAATGTGTAGGGATCACTTGATCATAATACATGATCCATATTTGATTAGTGAGTTCTATAGAGAGGTGATAAAGAATAGTTGAACTTATACCATGATTTGACAAAAATGCCATTTTTGTTCTCTTTCTCTCACAAAAAACAAGATAATTATTTTGATGATATGACATCAACTTGAACCTCTGTTTAAATGCTCAAATCTCATCCTTTAATCTCACTGCATTTTGGCAAGCTTTCCAAAAACACCCTATACCCAACTACATGCTTTTGTCTCTTGGATTTTTTATTGATTAATGGATGCATGTAAGACATCATAGCTAAGGCACAATGTATTGTGCTTTTGTATTTACTTATTTTTGTTATTTTTGTTATTTTTGTTATTTTTGTTTTTCTTTCTTTTACATCTTCTATATAAAAAAAATTGAATTACAATGGTAGGTTTTTTTTTATTTATTCTTGGCACCTCCTAAGGAAATTGAATTTGCATGCCAATACAAATATGTAGTTGATATCATCTTATTAGTCTCAACATACAAGACAAATCACTTTCAAATGCCATTGCTTTATATCACTACCAACATAGTGTCACGGCCATAATCATGTAAGCTAATAATTACATATAGAAATAGATAGAAGTAAGTAAAAGTAGGTAAAAGTAAGTTAATTCTATAATATTTAACCTAGATGCTGCTTAGACTTCATAGGTGTCTTTAATTGACTTTTTGGATTAGAAACGTGGTCAACAAGTTGGCCATGTGCCACACATGTTGTTAGCTTGAAGATCAAGCTAACTATGTGGCCCACACGTAACTATGTGGCCCACACGTAGAAAAACTTGCCTTGTAAGTCAAGGCATGTGTCCTACAAAGTCAACACATATTGGAAGCCCCTAGTTAGATGGTATATATAGAGAGAAGAGTGAAGGCTTCTTCACTCTTGTCAACTCTTTTCTTGCTTCTAGTCTAGTTTCAAGGGTCTCTAGTTTTCTTGTCTTTTGGCAATAGCCATTCCAGTTTCTCTTTCAATATATATACTTGTTTATATATATTTTTTTACCTCTCTTTGAGTGAAGGCTCACTTGTCTGAATTGTTTTTTCATCGAGTTCTTATCCTTGACACATAGGCACAAATCATTCTTTTTCACTATGCTTTTGCTTCATGTGAGCAAAGAAAGAAGACGACTACATTCAGACTATGAAACACATATGATTTAAATTTGAATCAACACTTCTATCCATTTTTGTGACCAATTCTAAGCTTTTATTGATGCATGTAATTAATATTGTCTTTTGAGATGTTAGAACACAATACACACTTTTTCTTGTGGTACATCAAGAAAAATGTACTATCAAATATTAAGCCTATTATTTAAAATGCCACCAATTTTGAGACCTTTATGATAGCATGGAAGGAGGTGGTCTACACAACTAGTATCACAGAGTATAAGTAAGCTATGAATGGCGTAGAATATGACTTTGATAGGATTTCTATGAAATATATCAATATTGTTTGGCTATCTCTATATTATACAAAATTAATGAAATTTTGGACTAATCACATTCGTCATTATGGCCATTATACAACTTTGCGGATTGAGGGTCAGTATGGTATAATAGAGGGCTTAATCATGGTTTTTTGTCACAAACATATGCATGTAGGCCAGTAATTAAATATATAAATAGGTAGAAGTAGGTAAAAGTAGGTAAAACTAAGTTAATTCTATAATATTTGCTATGGAAGTTTTCTAAAAGCTTTATAGATGCTGCTTTGACTTTATAGGTGTCTTTAATTGACTTTTGGATTAAAAACGTAGTCAACAAGTTGGCTATGTGCCACACATGTTGTTAGCTTGAAGATCAAACTAACTATGTGGCTCACATGTAGAAAAACTTACCTTGTAAGTTAAGGCATGTGTCGTACAAAGTCAATACATGTTGGAGGTTCTATAGAACATCGCCACATAGCCCCTAGTTAGATAGTATATATAGAGACAAGAGTGAAGCCTTCTTCATTCTTGTCAACTCATTTCTTGCTTCTAGTCTACTTTCAAGGGTCTCTAATTTTTTTATCTTTTGACAATAGCCATTCCAGTTTCTTTCTTAATATACATATCAAATTAGTTCTATTTTATCATCTTTCTTTGAGAGAAGTCTCACTTGTTTAATTATTTTTTATCAAGTTCTTGTCCTTGATAAATTGACAAGGATACACTCACAATATCAGAGCTTTGTCTAATCTTGATTAAGAGTAGATTACCACTATTTCTTCATAAGACATAAGCATATTAGAAGTTACAGATTACCTTCTTCTAAATTGATATTGTCCTTAATATTCTCTTTGCTCTCAAGTCCTCTCTTCTATTTGTCTTGAGTGATATTAGACATCTTCTCTTTTTTAAGTGTTATCATGGTAGAACTTGTTGAAATGAAGAATGCAATGGCACAAATGTAAGAGCAATTGAGGGAGTTAATGCTTGCGATACATCAACTCAATTTACCACCATAAGGAGCAAAAAGATTGTTAGGAAGTGAAGATATAGAAATGATTGGAGCTGCTTCAACATTTGTACCAAATCATGTCCCTTCTCCTATAGTGGAATGTCCTTGTAATATTAGAAAACCTAGAATCATCCTACCCGAGAAGTTTGATGGCACCATATCAAAGTTTAGAAGATTTATCAATCAAGTACAACTTGTGATTGAACTTCAATCCCAAAGCTATCCAACTCCAAGATTGCAAGTTAGATTTATTGGTACGTTGTCGTGTTGTAACACGAATATACCGTGAAAATATAAAGAAAGGGGACTTTTATTAATATTTAGTTACCTTGAATATTGGAGGCAACGACTAATTCCGGTGCAAATACTAGGAAGCCAGGGTTAGTCACCCCATTATAATCAGCCGGGGCATACTGAAATGCTCCGTTCGATTCCAATAACGGGAGTCAGCAAAAAAGAAAAAGGATCAATTCAATGATGCGTGAGCCTGGTTTGAAGAGCCAATTGGATCCAATTTCAAGACATCCAATCCGGGTCCTCTTACCCAATATGAGACCTGAATTGGTTGGGCAACCTAATGCAGTCTAATTATGGGAAAATCCAGGTCTTACTACGGGCCTCAGACAATCTGACATGAAGGATCAATTTGATCCAATTACGGGAACATCCGGATCTTACTACTAGACTCTTACCCAATATGAGACCTGAATTGGTCGGGCGACTCAATGTGGTCCCGATTACGGAGCTCCGATTCCGTTTTAGGCTGTTCCGTCCTTTGTGCCGTTTCAGGAACGTCCTTTCAGTAAAATGCTCTTTTAAAGGTAAAAATGGAGGAGAAAGCTCTCACGGCAAGAGCCAATTTCGGATCCAAGCTCTGATGGCGGGAGCCAATTTCGGATCCAAGATGGAAGATTGAAAAAATTCAGAATAAGGTTAAGAAATGAGAGGGGGGGAGGAGAAGTTTTTTTTGGAAGTTTTGAGAAGGATCAAAGAGCTAGCTTCATGCTTTGGAGCAGGGAAAAAAGATAGAGAATTGGGTTTTTTTTTTTTTTTTTTTTTTTTTTTTTTTTTTTTTTTTCTTC